TGCTCTTTTTTTTATGCCTTTTTATGGTTTTGTTTGTCCATGTATGTTTTGTGTTTGTTGTAAAAATTAAAAAAAACAAAAAAAACAATCAAGTCAAATTACATTCATGTTTTTCAACAAGCCTTACACTAATATCTCTTGAGCAGAGTTCTTTCTTGTAATTTCACTTCACACATTGCTCCACATATACGTAAAAAAAGGTAAATCCTATTTTAGTTCTCTGGCACATATAATCATAACATGCATGTGATGGAAAACATATTTAAAACATAGACCTTAAAATAATGAAAAGTACACTACAAATGCAAGTTTGGATTTCCAGCTTAAGCTTATGTTGCACAAGGCTCCATAACTCCAGTGTGTGACATGGGAAATTGTGCACAATACTCATGTAGTATTATTTTTCAAAAATCATATTTTTGGCTTTTGTTAGTAAGCAGTTCTTGCAATTAGAGGATCTGATAGGCTATAATATTAAAGGAGTTACGATTCTCTATTGTTTTCCCAATTTGGTGTCCTCAGGATGTTCTGTGAGCTAAACTGGTAATTCAAGAATTGTAGGCCCAATGTATCTGGAAGATACCAGATCAAGGAAATTTACTCCAGAGACCAAACCATTGGGTTCAAATAGTAAGCAAGGGCATTTTGATTAAATTGTGCTCAGTTACCAGTGATACTCACTGGTAATGTTCAGCCTCAGACAAGATACTTCTAAAAATGGAGATCATGATAAAGATAGATTCTTTGGGCTGCAAGAGCATTTTCTGCTCACATTAGCCAGAAGCAGAGTTTTTTCTTCAGTAAAGAGTTAACTCCAACTATTTTCCATGACTGGATGAATTTTAAACAATTCTTCCATTTCATTTTTCCAGCTTTCATTATCACAGTATGTGGCCTGTAAACTGAAATTGAAATGCAGAGGACAGCAACAAAGATAGCTGGAGGTATGATAAAAATTGGACTATGTTTAGCCTGGAAAAAAAAAGAGGACTGAGAGGGGAGATAAAGGAAGTGTTCAGATACTAGAAGAACTGAAAAAATACTAGAAGAATATTAAAAGAGGGTGATGAAAGTTTTGCTCTCTGCTGTTCTGAGGCCAGGACTGTATCAAATATACCTATACAAGAGGAGAAATTTCAGTTAAATGTTAAAAGAAACTTCTGAGTGATAGAATCAATTCACCAAAGAGAAGCAAGTCTTGATGTGTCAATGTAAGAGGCTAGACAAGTCACATTTGGCAGCCAAATATGGGATTTTAGTCCTGCTTTTCTACTCCAGACAGAAGATCCATCTAGAGTCTGTTGGAGTGAGTGGCTATAATACATTTAATGAAATACATACATAAAATAAAATAACCTCAATGCCCCATCAGTTCTTTAATTCCATAAACTATGGAAATTAGAGTTTATCAACCGTGATTACTTATAACAACAAAACAGAACAGCCAGATACAGAGGGAATGTGTATGTCCAGATGTTGGACATAAACTATGGACATTCACCTATGTCCAGGTGAAAGGAATTAGCTTCATCTGTCATTTATGACGACTGAGAGACATTTTGCTTTATTGTTTTTATATTGGTTTAGTAAGACTATGTCATGATGACTGCTTTTAGTTGCCTTAGGAGCAGAAAGGCATAATGTAAAGATTTGCATCAATAAAACAAATAGACGTTGTGATGCATATTGGCAACATATTGTTGGACTATGGACTATGGACCTATAAGTTAGTTCTTCCATTTCAATATTCTTAACATGTTTAATGTTTAAGTGCTTAAATTGACTTATTTGAACAATAGCTGTGCAGATCACATTTGACAAATCAAAATATTACCATCAGTTGCTTGAAGGCTGTATGTCAGGCCTAATGCTAAAAAGCCCTTTGCTAGGAATTCTCCGGCATCTTCTCCCATGTCAACAACCATCTTGGCGAAACGTTCTCCTTCCTCCAGCTGAATTGATGAGAGAAAGGGAGAAACATTACAGGAAATGTTCTTTGCAAAATCTTAATAGAATATATAATTCTTTGGGATGCATTCAAGATTAGCAAGCATCAGAACTTCAAAATTATAAGATGGTACTATGCTTCCAGTTAATTGGGAAGACCTGACTTCTAAATCTCAATGCATGACAAGAACCTGACTTTTCCCAGCATGGTGCCCAGCTGCAACACACTGGAATCCTCCCAGGTGAAAGTCTACAGCAACCTATGACATTGGTAAAAGATTTAGCACTAATGCTGGCTCCAGATTTTGAGCATAAGAATCTGCCAAGTATGCCCCTACTACCACTGTTACAACTGTTCATATTGCTCTTTCCCGCATGTGTATGGAGCCTGTTCTTTTGTCAGGTGGAGAATCAGCAAGCAAAAGACAGGTCCTTCTCCTTCCTATTTCTTACTTTGCTTCTCCTGCCCACTTTTAGACCAAAAGGAGTGGGTAAGTAGGCAGCAATGGTGAAGAGACAGGAGCTCTTGACCATGGATTCATTGCTGGGACACAGATCTATCACAGAAACATAGTTTAAAGAATCAGAGACAGATGGAACCATTGGGGAGGTAGAGAGACCCAGAAATGGATTAATAGAGACACAGAAGAAAGGGGGAGGGCAAAATGGGACAGATTGTTATCTAGGAGTTGCTGAGCCTAATCCATAGGCCACATAGCATGATCTTCAACTTCCTGTTAACTTCCAGACTGTGATGGAATGGTTTGGTAAACGCCGCACTCGGGGAGATTGATTGATGTCAGGTTCAGCCCAAAGAACTCCACGAGACAGTACAGGTCTAGTTCAATAGCTTTTATTAGCTTTCACCCACAAGACAGAATCTTGCCAGACTGAATCTA